TGTATTATCTTCTGATTTTATTTTTAAAATTGCATGATTACCTATCAAAAAAAAAAATAGGAAAAAGAAGATACCAATATTACAACAAACACTCAGCTGTTATAACATTCCTAACAAACTAATATCCAGCTGGCATAACAGAAAATAAGCTGGTAAATAATAACAATATATTAGAAGTAATATTTAGATCTGAATGTTTTATTTATGTTCGTGTTGTTTATAGATTTGCATACATGTGTGTGTGTGTGTATGTGTATTGAGTTATACGAGTTTTTGAATTTGAATGTGATGATTCTCGCGGAATAAGTTTATTGGGACCCTTTCCCTGTGGCTATAGATTCTATACACATGAGTGCGTTTAGATTCTCTTATTTGTCTACATAACGTGTTTTTTGTGATCGGTGAAGTTTGCTCTTGTTTTATTTATTTTAACAATTTAATTTCAGAACTTTGTGCTACAGATTTTAATGCTTTAATCACAGTCGAAAATTATACAACTGGATAAAAAAAAGTTTGCTTAGGAGCTTCCGTGCGGCATAAAATGTTGAATAATAATATGCTATTATGGGGTGGATGATAAATTTTGAATCTTAGCCTCAGTTTGGCAAATCTATAAATGGTTTAAAAAGAAAAATAGTATTGAGTTCTACAAAATATATGAATAAAAAGTAGTGGTTATGAATGTGTAATTTGAATTAATGTTTGACTTTAACTTTATTTGTAAATCGTATATAAATTGTTATCCAAATGGGGCTTAACAATATTATCATGGTAAGACTAGTAGCGGACGTTGATATTTTCTTGGATTAATATATTTGTACATTCCTTGACATCTTGGATGACATCCCCTACATGAAAGAAATCTGGCCATTGATTGGAAATAGCGTTGTGAAAATCAATGTGCAAAAAAATGTCAACTCACATGATGTCAAATTTGATGTACATATAGCAAGACTCTATTTTCTTACTCTCTTGTTAGGCGGGTAATGGGTGCTCAGATTCCTGTGTTTGATTACAAACTATAAAATGTTCTGCCTATTGTGCAATTTACTGTGAACATAGTTATTAGAAAATGGGATAGATGAAGTGCGAGCGTTTAGAATAATTTTTAGTTTGTTTTGGTTTACAGTAAAATGAGATATTACGGTTCTATACGAATGATTTTGTTCCACTAAATGAGTGGGTCCATCTTTGTCTTTGATTACAAGGTCATTTCTGTTAATATCAATCTGCGTGAAAAATCTGGTTCTTGTTTGTGCTATTAAACATCTAAAAAATCTGTCACATGATCATAATTCTTTTTTCATGAATGAATGCTGCATGCTGTTTGGTTTTTACGTGTGTCCATTTCAAGAATCAAAGTCTTTTGTTAATGCATTTTGGCTATGTTAGTACAGTGTACCTTGTGCATAAACACCGTCATTCATAATTTTATAACGAGGGAGATAATAGTTAATTTTTTATTCAAGTGTTAACTATTGAACCTACACCATGTTTGGTAGTCATCTAAGTTGCATTGCTGGTACTACTTTTCATGCGTGTTTTTTCTAGTCTTAACAATTGTATGGTGCCTTCTTGTGATTTATTTGTCTTCTATTAGTTGAAGGAGTTCTCAACATTTTTGGTAGAAGCTTGTGGCTGAAAACAATTGAAATGTAATCCATGTTGCAGCAGCCAAGTCCCTTTTCAATCCTTTTATTTTATTCTTGATCACCAATTTTATGTTTGCGGGAATTTTATTCTAGGTCATAATGGAAGATCAATACCAGCACCCAACTATTGTTCAGAAGGTAGCCAACCAGCTATATCTGCGATCTAGTCTCTCCCCGGATGTTCAAGCTCACAATGGAGGCTTTCAACGACCCTCTGTGCATCGGAGGCAATTTGCGTATGGCAATCATACAAATTTCGGGACTGAAGTTTCCTATGACTTGCAGAGCCACCAAAGATCTGGCAGTGATTTCTGCAAATGTTTCACCAATGTTTGTGCAGGGTCCGTCAGAAAAAGGCTTTGCCATCGACTTTCTCGTGAGTGGAGTTTCGGCTGCTGTGTCAAAAACTGCTGCCGCCCCTATTGAACGTATGAAACTTTTGATCCAAAATCAAGATGAAATGATTAAGACCGGCAGGCTCTCTGAACCATACAATGGAATTGGTGATTGTTTCTAGAGAACAATTCAGGATGAAGGTTTTGGATCACTGTGGAGAGGAAACACTGCTAATGTCATTCGTTACTTCCCCACTCAGGTTTACATATCTCCTGTTTCCAAGATACATTGAATTTTGCGTGTGTTCGTCTGCTTTTATGCATTTTATACTACTTACTATTCTTGTTCCATAGGCCTTGAACTTTGCATTTAAGGACTACTTCAAGAGGCTTTTCAACTTCAAGAAGGACCGCGATGGCTACTGGAAATGGTTTGAAGGTAACCTTGCATCTGGTGGTGCTGCTGGTGCTTCATCCCTATTCTCTGTCTACTCCTTGGACTATGCTCGTACCCGACTTGCAAATGATGCCAAGGCCGCAAAGAAGGGAGGAGGTGGGAGGCAGTTTGATGGTTTGGTTGATGTCTACAGAAAGACCCTGAAATCTGATGGCATTGCCGGTCTTTACCGTGGATTCAACATATCTTGTGTTGGTATCATCGTGTACCGTGGTTTGTACTTTGGAATGTATGACTCTTTGAAGCCTGTGTTACTGACTGGAAAGTTGCAAGTTAGTATAAGATTAGCATCATTCTAGTAATCACTTATCTCTCAACATTATAGATGCTGATTATTTAAAACCCCATGGAACTGGAATCGTCAATTGGGTTGTATTTGTCGGGTATTGGGATGGATTCTTCTCATTGAATAGGATTACATTTTTAGTTGAACTGATTGGAGGTGTGAAGTACAATACTATACTTCTTATGCAAATTTTGCCATTTCTGTGTAGTCTACATGTGCATAGAACATTATTTTGTCAATATGTTGCAATTTTTCACTGAAAATTGCCTACCTATGATTACAGGATAGTTTCTTCGCTAGCTTTGCCCTTGGTTGGCTAATCACAAATGGTGCTGGTCTTGCCTCTTACCCAATCGACACCGTCCGTAGAAGAATGATGATGACCTCAGGAGAAGCCGTGAAGTTCAAGAGCTCGATGGATGCATTTACTCAAATCCTCAAAAACGAGGGCGCCAAATCATTGTTCAAGGGTGCTGGGGCGAACATCCTTCGTGCCATTGCTGGTGCTGGTGTGCTTGCAGGCTATGACAAGCTTCAGATGATCGTATTTGGCAAGAAATATGGCTCTGGTGGTGCCTAATTTCCTTTAGCAATAGAGATGATGATGATGATGATATCTTCATATTTAGTTGAAAATTCATCCAATGCGAAGTTTTACTGATCTAGTTAAATAATTCGAGTCCAGAGAGGTTTGAACACTGAAATTTCTCTTCAATTTTTCGGATATCTTGTTTCTGCTATTTTGTCAGTGTAGAAGTTGCTATTTTTCACTGACAGATTTTGTTTCTGCTTATTTTTCTGTTAATTTTACGCACTTATGATTAATTACATTTTGAAGTTATGTATATACATTATTTATGGAATAGTGATTTGCAGTTACTGTTTATTATTTGAATTTAACAAAATAATTTAAGGAAAATTGCAGCTGGGTCCCTAACCTTTGCAAAAGGGAAAATGGGTTGATCATTTTTATTTTATTTTTTTGACAGTGCTGTCCCTAACCTTGGATAAAATAAGCAGCCAGAGGACCTTTGAATGGAATTTGTCCAAACAGTTGAAATCTAGACGTGTGAATAGCACATGCTCTTCTTTCTTAGAGCTTGTTTGGGAGAGATTTTTGGGGGAAAAATTAATTTTGAATAGTGATATGATGGGAAATGTGTGGTTGAAAAAGAAGAAAAAATTATTGATGTGACGGAAAATATTATTTTATTGAAGAATGTGTGGTTGAAAATAAGAATTGATTTACTGTAGAAANAATTAATTTTGAATAATGATATGATGGGAAATGTGTGGTTGAAAAAGAAGAAAAAATTATTGATGTGATGGAAAATATTATTTTATTGAAGAATGTGTGGTTGAAAATGAGAATTGATTTACTATAGAAAAATCTAATCCCTCCCAAAAAGGGCCTTAATTCCTACGGTAATTGATGACCACTTCGATAATATTACTGTTGATAATTACTAAAAGAGGTACATTGGTTATCTTCAATGTATATTAAGCCCACGTTTGGTATTAATTAAAATCAAATTTTAATATAAGCTAAAGTCAAATGAGTTTTAAATAATTTGTACCAAATAGAGCCCAAGTTTACGTACATTCGAGTCCTAAACATGCTTGAATATTCTATTTTTGCCTTAATAGTAAGAGAAAAAAGTTAGTTAAAAGTGTTTAATAGAAGATTATTTTGTTAGCATATTTGGCAAAACTTAACATTAATTTTAATGAAATGCTTAAATT